AAAACAGCTCTGCAGTTTCTAAAATTAACATTCTTGTATCTCATCAAGCACCATTATATTGCAGTTTCTAGTCAATGATTTCATTACATCTGTTACCACCGAAAAAATCAAGTAAATTTGTAAACTAAATAGTTCATTGGCATAAAGTGATTTTTAAAAGGGGTGAATAATGTTTGGGGTTTTTTTCTAGCAGATAACAAATATTGTGATTAAACCATATTTTAATAGTATGCTAAACTCCAACCCCAACTGATTTGGCACATTTTCTTTTCTGAAACTACCTTTGATAAGAAATGCATTACAAACTCATCAGTTTAGCTTCCTGTTAACAAAGAGACAGCAGCCGTCTGGATTATTCTAGATCCGCAGTGAAACTGCCACACTATGTATGCTCAAACTAAAGCTGTGTAAGTTTGACAAGGGGCAGATGAATCCAGGAGTTATTGTGCAGGGGTTTAAGTCTATGCGGCAGCTGACGGTTGAAATAATCATCTATACATCGCTCTGAGCTAGCTGGGGAAAGGTTGAAGCTGTATATTTTCAACATATCTAGCCTAATGGTTAATCTGTTGTCTTGTACAGGGGGTGCTGGGTGGAATCACAGCAATAGCTGACAGTTTGGAGGAATTGCTGTGGGTATTTTCAGTTGCCTGATTCACAAAGTGGTAGGTAGCAAAGTCTAAACAGACTTTTCGTTGAATGAGGGAAGTCATGCTCACTGTCACTCCCATCAAAAGAACTCTGGTAGCCAAAAGCTCAATCAACATATTGATTATTTGCATTTAATAATACAGGGCTGCAGCTTGTCTTCACCCCCCACCCTGTGAAAGCTGAGCCAGATTGCAGAATGGTGACTGCTCCTTTGGAGGTCAGCTGGGAAAATGTTTAGGAGAAAGAGAACAGTTAAGTTGGGGGAAGAAATAAAATATTTCTTCAAACCAAGATAGTTTAACTGTTAGAAACGCTCTCTGTACTTCTAGTGCTGGATCTGGCATATCTGCACAGTGACAATGCATTACTCACTCCAGAGATTAAGGGGGTGCAGCATGAATTAGACTGAAACAAAAATGAAGTATCTGCAAGTGACAGCTCTGGCTGATGGCTGACTATGAAGGAAAACACTGTGCTAGTGTCTGGTGAAAAACAGTGCTGAAAGCCTAGCAGCTGATAGAGATGGGAGAGGAAAGGAGTAGTGGGTATCGGTGGTGGTTGTTTAGAATGTCTGGTTTTGGTCAGGATATTTTTTCTCCTTTAAAACACATTTTCATCTTCCCTTCCAGGCAAATCATGCTGAAGCCAGTTTCAGCCATTTTGTTGAAAGCAATGTACTGGTATTCTGCCTTGTTACATTTAAATTAAAGCTCAGCCCAGTTTTAAGTTATGGCAAGTGTATGCTCACAAGGAATAAATAGAGATTGCTATAGGCATTAGATTAACTACATTGGTTGTTTTAAAAATGTTCAGGGAGTTGCAGATTGCAATTCAAATTATCTTCATTATAATAAATAAAATGTATAGAAATAGAAACAGGCATGATGCTCTAATGCAGTCTGTAGGCAAGTGTATATTCATTGAGCTTGAAAGGGAGTTCCTGAGGGTGGGAGTAAGGAATAGGAATATCAAAATACCTTTACAATTGCATTAATATCCCACATCTTATAGACATTATTTTAATTCTCTAATGGTAACAGGTTTCTTGGGCAAGTTCTATACAGCATTTACTAAAAGTAGGTACTGTTCACTCAGGGTGCAATTAGAAAATACTACAGAAAATGGAATGTCTTACCCTTACTCTACTCTTATCCTGTTCCTTATTGTTTACCATTCTTGGAAAGCAGTTGAAAATTTGCTCTCAAAATGACCAGTAAGTGTCTCTATTCTTAGGTACAATACTAATGCCTTACGGATTCACAGCAAGTGTCCTGAACAGTTCTAAGGAACTTGGGCAGAATAAAGAATGCAGGCATCACACTCGTCCTGTGATCATATGCATTGAAAATAAAGTCATATGTTGTATTGTATAAAAAGAAATTAATCTAACTATGAGTAGAAAAACAGTTCTCTTTCAGTAGACTCACTGGTGCTAAACTCATCACATACTTGGAAGAGAACCCTTGTGGATTTGGAGGCTGTGGTTTGACATTGCACAACAGTACAACAAATTACCCCAATCCAGACAGTTTGATTGCCAAACCTAGAGAGGCAGTGACAAGATGTAAGGATGTATTTAGTTTCATATAACTAACAGCAGTCTTCACTTCCCAAATATGTTTTCTGTGGAAATCAGCCCACACAGTGGTGCAAGAACCCAATCAGATTTTAAAGAAATTATTAATAAAAATCAACTGCTTTTGCTGAACAACAGGGTGCTATTTAAGTGGTTTAGGTTCTGCACATTATAGTACATATCTGGTGAAGTGACAGCGTTGGCCTGTGTTTCTCACCTAATTGTGTAATACTGCTTTACTCTGAAAGCACTGTGCTTGCACACGTAGTTTACTGTGTATCCTGACATGCCTGTCTTTGGGGCACAGTGTGCATGCACAACTTGACAGTAACATTTACAATGAGTAACCAGTTTTATTCTTCTGTGGTAAGAAATATATAATTGTAGGAGGAACAGAGAAAGAGATTATTATCTCTATGAAACATGAGATATTCAGATATTATACTATAATCCTTGCTTTTCAAGATGGAGTAAAAAGACATGAGCCATAAACTCTTGGAATAAGAAAGAAACTTGTCCTATATACAAGATATTTCACAGTTATCCACTATGGGGCTTCTTTGACTTTCATCTGAAGTAGCTGAGCTCTTGTCAGAGGCAAGAAGCTAGAAGTCATGGAATGAAACCAGTAGTTAGAACTTTTAAATCTGGAATAATTTGACTGAACAAAAAAAGGCAACTTGTTATCCCCATGCTCAGTGTTTTGCTTTTCAGTAATAGTACCTGTCCACACTGTTGGAAATAAGGGGAAGTAGGTTATGTTTTAAGCAGCTCAGTCTGCCTTCATGCTGAACAAGATCATGTGGGACTGTTAAATATGATGCCAAACACCAGATATGAAGCCATTACCAAAAGACAAGTATTTTTGTTCTGATTCATGCTGTGCCACTGCAAGCACAAAATCTTGGGACATCTTGCTTGTGTCTGCATGGAATATTCCAGAAGATGTACATTTTTATGGAACGTTATTGCTTAATGGTGACGTCTGGTATCTGAAACCATCACTTAGTGAACTCCAGAAGAGGCTGTAAAAAGATTATGAAACAACTTGATTGGGGGTGGATAAGCTTACTAAGTTTTGGTCTTCTTCCATTGTGTGTGAAGATACTTTGATGCAGGCATGTAGATTTTTGAAGATTATTGCCAATATTACTATCTATACTTTAAAAAAAGAACTGAATTGATGCATATCTTCAAATACATGCTTGACCAGTGACTTGTGTAGGGAGATAGGTCTCTGCAGATATATTTTATCATCTGAAAATTGTTTCACCAGAGGAATATAAAAAATAGAAGTACAAAATTTGACAAAACCTCAGAAACTGAGGAAAAATCAGTAATTTTCAAGTAGTGTATCCAATATTATTCACAGTGGGGTTTTTGTGACAGTTTTCCTAATCAAAGATATATACTCTCCTCTGATGATTTAAAATATATGTGGACTGTGATGAGTATGCATTATTGTTATTATACTCTAAATGTTACTACTATTAGTAAAAAGCAGAGTAACATTGTGAATCAGACTCTAGTTCTTTCCTCCCTGATTTTTCTATCTGCCTCAGTCAGAGTAGTAGCAAGCCATCAATTCAGAGGTCACTGAATTAAAATGGATGCTTTATTACTAGCGAGTTGAACCTTGTTAAAAAGTACCTTCAAATGACTCTTGTAATTCCCATAGACCCACTTTTTTTGCAAGAGAGACAGATTTTGTGCTTGAAGAAAAATGGCAAGCATAGGGGTGCTATTTACTTATCTTTCCTGTTACCAGATGGTGTTTCTAGCTGGTAAACTAGACAAAGATGCCAAAAAACATGCCAACCTCCTCAATTACTTTGGAGCCACTAACTGCTCAATATTCTCCATACAATCTTTAAGGCAATTGAAACATATGGAAATAATACTGCAGGTTTATCAGTCCACCAACTACTCCCCATCTAACCTCCTTACTTCATAATGCATAACTAGATATAAGATCTTACTGACTCAATAATACACCTTCTTCTCTATACTATACTCATTCAGAATGAAACAAGCATTCAAAGAAAACCTTATTGCATATTTTTACCAGAAAAACATTTTTTTACTGTTTTTTACAGAGGGTGCCATTTGTTTGGGGGGAAGGAGGGTTATGTGTTTAATTAGCTTTGATATATTAGCAATGGAAGACTAAGAATCACAGATAACTCCATATTTAGGAAATCAGATTTTTTAATTTTCTTTACAGAGGTGCTATATATGACCTTCAGAAATTTATGGTATGCAGCACTGCTGAATAGCCAACACTTTTAATGTAGATACCTAAACATCAGTTTAATTCCATAAGTATGCCTGCACAATTTTGAAGTGTTGACCTTACGTTTTCTATGATTCCTTATTTATTTTAATAGCAGCAGAGTGCTCTACCTCCCCTGTCATTTTCAGTGCTTTCAAAGAAATAAACATCTTCCACACCTAGTAAATCTCTAAGCCTTTATCAACATGTGGGAAATAAGTGTTACCTCAGACATACTTACTCTAGGATGAGATTATTGCTTAAAGGTGATAATATTGTGGAATAATCCTTTTATAAGTATTCTTTTATAAAAAGACTTTTTCAGAAAAGAAAGACAACCTTATGAAAGCTGCAGGAATAAATCTCTGTTTCTGCTTTTGGAACTGCTACTTTAGGCTTTAACATCTGTATTTCCATGTAATATCAAAACTGATTCATGCCTGTGGTTTGAAATAATTTTTAATACAAAGAAATTAATTTAAATCTTTTCTTATTATTTAGAAGTAAAGAATGCAGCTAGATCAAGTTACCCAAAATGCTCATATCAATTCAAGAATGCAACTACTAATGCATTGATTGATGCCAAGTCCACTGAAGGAATCCCGGAACCTGTTCCACTTGTTAATAACCGTAAAGGGAGCCTCTTCCTACCCAACAACCCCTCGCTGCTGCACCTTAACTTACTGAGTTCTGTCGAACAAGGAAAATCTACGTACTGTAGATTGCAAAGGGCACTCAGCTTACCTGTAAAATACCGCTGCCACTCCCAAAAGCCTGGGTTGAACCAAGATCTCCGTAGGTAGCCCAGTAGTTGGATGCATAAGGCAATACAGATCGGTTTGTGCATGGTTTTGCAGTCTGTTTTCCATGTGCCTATGACATTACTAATTCTCTCTTAAGTGCTTACAGATGTGGGTTTCTCCAGATGTGGTGATTAATAAGTTAATTGAGATAGCTAGTCAACTAATGTTTCTGGGTGGTTTGTGCTTTACCTTTCAAAGGATTTATTTGCTCTGAAGCATTTACATGCTAGGCAGAACGAATTTACTGGGTATTCCAATTGATGTGGTCTTCAGTAACATAGATGTTATTTCAAATTTCAGTATTTTGGAGGCTTTAAAAAAGTGTCTGTAAACTGTTCTGCTAGTGACCTGGGAGAGGCAGTGAAGGGGACAGTTTTTTTTTAAAAATAGTAAGAAAATAACAACGAAAAAAAATTATGAACTTGTCCACTGTTTTGAAAGACATTCCCTTTATTTTGCTTTAGAAATTAAATAAAAAAAGTCAAGTAATATGTTGTTACAGATGTTCAACTCCACATTAAGGCTGTTAAAATTACCAGCACATCTTAAACCAATTGATGGTATATTGTCTGGAGGTTATGTCATTGAAGTAATGAACACTCTTTACTCAAGAGTAAGCAAACATGTTAAAACATCAGTGTAACTTTAAATTAAACTCCAGCACAAACTGGAGCATCTGAAGCCTCATTAGACTTGCCTGACATTTTTCTAGCACTGAGTCTTCCTGAACTGCAAAACTGTTATTAGAACAAGTGAACTGAAGGTTGATACAGCAGTACATTAAGTGTTATACTTAGGGAGGTGCAAACAAGCTCTTGAATCTATGAAATTCTGTGTCCAATTCTTGAACATATTTGCAATTTTCATGAAAACTGGTAAAGAAAGTCTACATAATATAATATGGCTGTATTTAATACAAATCCTGTAGTATAAAGACATGAAAAATAGTAAAAAATGGGGACTCATTAACAAAAGCAAGCATACAATATCAGAGTTGAGTTGTCATATATCACAGCCAATTACTCAAATATGGTTGTCTTTCATAAGAACAAGCAAATTTAAGACTCCCTTTTAAATTAATGCAGACACAAGAACCATGAGAGTAAAATTATATTTAATTACTTTACTAAAAATTTTGCTAGATCTATTTCTTTAAATATGCAGAAAATTGATAAGAGTATTTTGAAGAGTAATAATTAAATATTTTTATATCCTACTTACTACTAAGAAACCACTTGTGAGCTATCATTTCAAAATTTTTGGGAACCAAGCCATAGGTAATGGTGTCCATTATATACTATTCACATATTTCAACTTCATGGATTCCCTTCCCTCATTCTTATGGAGATGTGTTTCTAAAATACAGAAGCCCTGTAAACTCTGCACAGAGATTTCAACGAAAAACAAAATCTTGTTTTTATGTGATATGATAAAGATAGATCTCCTTTCATTGCTACAATGAGAATATATGGCTTCCTTGCTTGAACAAGGCATTGCTTTAGCAACAAACTGAGATTCCTCAGAAGACTTTGCTAACGGGTGTTAACTAGTGAGCCACATTAACCTTGGGCTTTCCAGGCAATTGGTGACAGTGACATAGTTTGAATATGACAAGCACATATCCAAAAAAGGAGCTTACTTGTTGCAGATGCAATACCAAAAATAAGCGCAGACTACTAGAAATGTACTTCTAGAAATGGTTATTCTGGATGATTACAGTAAGACTTTGTTTCTAATTGAGTGGCAGGTTAGTATCACCTAGCAACAATGGAGAACACAAATGCTGGACTATAAAGTGCAAAAGCCTCTTATTGTACTAACTTTCAGAATTTGAAGGGATCAGACAGGAGTCTTATTAGCTAGCTGAAAACTTGGAAAAGTACTCTTTTTTAATACTGTTTTCTCTTGTTCATAGAAATATTTCTTGCAATAATATCTACAGTTGACTTATGTTAATGTAAGGTTTTACACATGGTCTTGATATATCTTCCTTAGACTGTTAAAATAGTATGACAAACCCTTGTGGTGGCATATTGCATCTCTTGACAGACATACTGTAACTCCATGGTAGCAGATTAAATTAAGTAAAATTTAGAATTTTTACTACCAAGAGAGCAAACCAGATAATTTGTTGTTTCCCGGCAGGAACATTTTCCATGTTTCTTGTTCCTTTGATCTTCTAAGTGGTGGATTCATCAGATTGGAAGTGAATATTTATATCTTATACAGAAAAAGAAAGCACAGTGTATTTCTTGAAACCTGTTGTCTGTGTGGAATAGGATATGAATAACTTTTTTTAGAGAAGTTTAAAAAAGACTAGGCCATTTTTGAGAGTGTTTTCCAGAGAATGTTCTGAAACGCTCAAACACTTGCACTTTTTTTCAATCAGAAATACAGAGATATTACCAATAAAGTAATTCTGTGCATATTCACTTCATGGTACACATAGCTAAATACTAGAGCTAAATACTCTAGTTTAATATGAACAAACTACCACAGAATAAAAATTTCAATTTGTATATTTTTGAGAATTTTCTGTGGGCTTAGTTATCTCTCAGCCAAACAAAGAATGGCACTTGACTGATCATCAACAAGCATTTACACTGCAGGACTCTGATCTGGAAAAAAAAGAAAAGTCAAAGGAGAAGAAAATGGCTTTGTCTTTGGGGATGCTGCCCTAGAAGAGGAGAAAGTTAAGTTAGCCAATAAATCATTATTAGACAGTCCTTGTTCTAATCTAAATATTATTTTTGTACCACTCTTTGGGACATTTATTTTGGGATTATCTTTATTTGGTTGGGTTTTTTTGTTTTCCCTTTGCAATGCTTTCTTTTGTTGTGAATCCCTTCTGCTTGGTGATGCCCAGTCATATAAAAAGAGAGCACATCTGTCTTTTCAGGATCCAATTTTTTGGTCTTGACCAAGGCAAAATGAAGTTCCATAACAGGCTTGGGCAAACAGACAGACATGGCAGGCTAGAATGCAGTCTGTAATAAAATTGTGTCAGAAAAGGGTTATAGCAGAAGGCTGTTGCTTTATTTCCTCCAAGATAAGTCTAGGGCAGGTGGCAGATAACCAGGTTTTGTTGTTTTTCCTATGTAGCTTGTTGCAAATAGTATTTTTTTCTCAGCCTTTGCTTGTGCACTGCTAATGTGTACTAAGGTCTTTTAATATAGATACTACTGCTACTACTACTAATGTCTTTTCTTTTAGCTTTAAACAGCTTCCTAGGCATCAGTTACATTGTCTTCTAGTATATTTTTTGGTTAATACTAGAATGAAAAAAAATTATTTTTCCTTCTCTATATTAGAATAGATCAACATTAGTGTGAATTTCAGAAAGCAGGCATGAGATTATTCCCTTTGATAGCACATGTAAAGTTTACATGCAGATTATCAAGTGCAGTTATATAATATTGAAGTAAGAAAGATCTTGGTTAATTCTTATAGATGAGTTCTTAGGAAACTGCACTTGTGTAAGCAATACATATTGTGACATAAGTTATCCAAGAGTAGTTTATGACTGGCAAACTGTACATGATTTTAATTCTAGAAATTGATCTGTCATTGAAAATGCACGTCATCCTCATTAAAAGATTACATAACACATGCATCCTCTGTTATACAGGTATTGTCTCCCCACTTCCATTCAACCTCATTCTGTTCACTCCTGTTAAAACTCCCTTTTGTGAGAAGGGTAGAGCAATGAGGTCTGACTTGTGCTGGAGATCTGTGCACAATGGCAGGCTGCGTTCACATTCCCGACGAACTGAATCATTGAACATCAAGGCATTGAATATTTTACATCTCTTCATGAAGACTCTGTTGTTTGGCATGTGAGGAGCAAGAACCAACTGGTGTCTAGTTCATTAGCAAAAGCAGGCTGGCAGCTGTTATGTTGATATTTCAAATAGTACTTTATCTGTCTGGAAATATAGCAGAGCACTAATTCTATTTTTCTGTAGCGCAGATTAACTGATAATAACTCTAAGAATAACCCGAATGTGGTTCCCCCCCTTTGTTTTTGAAGTATGAAACCAATTTGAACTCCTATGTTCAAAACCCTGATATTCTTCCCTGCTTCTCTTTCAAACCAATCTCTTCGACTAACATGTATTTGATTTTTATTACTGTTGGGCCTATGTTAGCAATGAAGTATCAGTGAGTGAATGGACATAGAGTGTGTGTTCTTTGCTACTTCAGTTGTATTTCACATTGCACTTGGAGCAGTACTTAATCTCATAAGTTCCTTATATTTCCAGTTGAAGATGAGCAGCCGTCGACACTATCACCCAAAAAAAAGCAGCGAAACGGAGGCATGAGAAATTCACCCAACTCTTCACCCAAGCTGATGAGGTAAGACTGTAAGAAACCCATATCTTCATCTGCTTTCTTCCTTCCTTCCACTTCTCCTCCCCCCACATCAAAAATAAGCAGAGGGGGGTGAAAAAAAAGATTGTTAGATGGTTTCTGAAAGGCTGAAGTATTTATTCTGTCAGCTTGTCAGCAGTTAATGATAGAGCTGAAAAAAAATTCTGTCATGAAAAACAGTTTGAAAAGCTGTTTGAAAAATACATAGGCTTTAAAGTCTTAGCTGTCACCCTGTCCTGTCCATGTGTAGTTCTTAAACAGCAGTGGCACTAATGATAGCACTAACCAATCAGGGGAACTCATGTGGTTAGTTTGCCTCAGGCAATTCTCTTTTTGTTGGATTCCCTCTGAGTACTGTTTTCTGTACTTAAGGCCATATGTGAGATGTATCATCACAATCAAAAATGAACCTGAATATTACCTTCCTTTTATCCTGTCGATTGAAATCAAATTTCGGTTAATTGATTTAGACTGATAAAAAAGTCTAATAATATATGTACTTGCCAAAGCAAAGTTCAAAACTAACTCAGTTTTAGTCAAGCTAAAAGCACATTAATTATGAAATACAGGGATTTTTAAGAGGGTAGTATATACTCTAAAAGTGGGTGATGAAAACATCATCTTGTTAGTGATATTTTTCCCCTGTTGCTATGTGTACATTATTTTACAACAGTACTGCTTTGCATAACTGTGTAGTTTCTTTCCACAGGACAAATTACCTCTAAGAGATTTGTTAAAATGAGAACTGCAAAAGGAAATTGGAATCCATTAAAATAATATGGCATTTTCATTCTGTCTCACTATGCTTCGCCTTTTACCTGCTCAAGTCAGTCAGAATAGGATCACATTGTAGACATAGAGTTTTCTGCAAGGAGGCTGTTCCTGCTCTGATTTTGCATATCTTAGGCAGTCAGGCTGGAACCTCAGTCCATAACTGTATCCATAAATACTATAGCAGAGATTTTCCACTGTATGTGTGTGTGTGTATATATATATATATATATGCACACAGAAAAATGTAAACTTATTGATACATGTAAACAGACACATTTATGCAATTTGAGATTTATGTGTGTGTATAACTGTGTCTTTTCAAGTGAAAAAAAAATGGATACAAATATGTAATTCTTTCCATATATAAAATCCTTCAATATTTTTATTATTGACAATTATTTTGTTCCTTTAATGATTCTGGATACAGCTAGGTGATATTTCTCATTGTATTTCAGTTGCTAGATTGGAATTTTCTTTGGCCAGTTACAGAAACATCCATATTTGTTTATTGTTTCTGCAATGTAGGGCATATTCAAGGACTTAACTTCTACAAGTCGTCCTCATCTCTGTTTAGACTACAGAACCAAAAGTGAGATTGATTCACAGAAGAAAATGCACCCAGCTGTGGCTTTTTTTTTCCTATTTACCATCTATTTCTGTTAAATGTATCATTAAAAGCTCTCTGACTTCCTGTTAGTTCAGCCTTGCCCATATGACACTGATTTACATGCTTGTTTACAGTTTATGAGGAAGAATAAAATGAGCATACTGGCAAACTTCTCATTTTTATGGTGCCAGTTGTCATGCTAGCATCGTCAACTTACTTACCTTTGGACAGTCCTCTTATCTGGTGTTAATAGTTTTAACTGCTTAAAATTTAAACATGTGGGAGATTTCCCCACTCACCTTCCCCCAAATCCTAATTTTGGGGAAGTAGAAGTAAGAAGAAAGAGAGAGGGAGAGAGAGAGAAAGCTGAAACATTTGGAGCTGAACACACTGTCCCTGTTTGCTATGTAAAGTATGCCTCATTTCTTTGATCTTGAGTAATAATAATTCTGGGGAGTTATACTGTTTTCATATGCTTCAAAGCTGTGTCAAAGTTTTGCTGCTTAAGGGTACTTCTTTATTCTATTGGCTCTTGGGTACTGAGATGACAGGTCCTCTGTACTAGGTGCAGGCTTTTTCAAGTCATAGCCTTCAGCAAAACATCAAATTACCAAATACAGGGTAACATACTTCTACACAAATGCCTTTCCTGTAGATATATTATACCATATATATTAAATACTTTAGTGTTACACGGTACATTTTATGTGCAATAGAAAGTGATGGTTTGAGGTAGCCTTAGGGGTACTTTTTTCCACAAGCAGAAAAAGCTAGTGTATACCGTATCAAGTATGGTTTTTACAGGACTTTCTGCCCGAAGGCCTTTGTAAATAAGTAATGATCAACAGATTGGCTGTGGGTTTTTGAAAAGCATGCCTGTGTCAGTTTGCATGATGGGGGAAGATTTTCAAAGTAGAGCCTGCTTTCATTGCCTGCTGAAGAGGGACTGAGGGAGAGTAGTCGTCCTGAGCCTGAGCTGTCTGCTCAGTAGCACATCAGAATTGCTAAACACAGGTTGAGCAGTGAGTGGAGAACTTGCCAGGCTTCCAAATCCAGACATTGTTTTCTTCCTCTTCTTCACTGCTGCTAAATTTATTCTCCAACCCTGTGTTCGCACCCTCAGCTGCTCCCCAGACCCAACCGTCTCTTCATTTTACTTTTTATCTACACTGACTTAACTTTGGTTCAAGGTGCTAAATAAGACAACATGGATTGAATCAGAAGAGAGCTCTGTTAAGCTTTGTTTGTAATGGTCAAACTCTTTTCTTCTTTCCGATAAACAAAGGTGGACTGTATTATCTGCTATTTTGTATCCTCGTAGATTACTTAAAGTGACAGGTACTTGCTTTTCTGCCCAGAAATCTTTAGTGTATAGCAGCTAGAAGTACCCGAGAGGTAAATCTGTCATGTCTGTAGCTGATATTTATCTTTACAAGTTTTTTCCTAAATTTACTTTAAAAGCTACTTTTCAAAGTCAGTTTTGACCCTATCCCACCTGCCTTGAAACAGATGGCTACTTTGCAAATTTTTCGTCAGCTATGGTCCTGGATCTAGAGGGGTGCTGGAGTGCAAGAAGTCTGGAGCGTGGAAAGGACAAATATATGAGAAGTTCATTTAAAAAAATTTAATCTGAATTGTGACTCTTGAATCACATTCTGAGCATCCCTACAGTTAGGATAATGTTGAAAATGCCACATAGATTTTAGATTCCCACAGTGACTAGGTCAAATCAGGGAAGAAGGTATTATGCTATGGGATAAAACTTTATGACTTCTGCTATCACTGAAATAGAACAGAGGATAGAAACTGTATCACAGGAATTCTCTGGGACATGACAAGTGATGTGACCTGGTCAGAAAATGGGAGTTTTTGAGATTTAGTCACACATAAGTAGAACGCTGTATTACCAAATGTGAACCAGATAAATAGATTGGAGGCATCTTTTTAATGTCATCTTTTTGATGACCCTAAATTACAATAAATTACTGATATAGATAGGTGATTGACATAAAAATGCTCTTTGTGTACATCACAGATGGTCTAGATTCACATTTAGAAAGTCACTGTTCTAACTGAATCCTGCATCACATCAAATGACATGAGCAGAATCACACTGATGCAATGCTAGAAGACTCTAATCAATAAGAAACAAATATTTCAAATTCCAACAGTAGCTACAAATGCAAATTAACCAGAAAAATACTTTGCATCGTCACGGTTATTTTTACCTGTCTTACATCAGCAAAAGTCTGTCCCATTAAACCCATAAGAACATGGATACTTCTTAAAAATAACTTAAACTCCAACAGGAAAAAATGGCTACTTCTCCTGTTGAGATGTGAACACAAAGACATCCTATTACAATAAAAAGTAAAATTTAGATGGAAGCAAAAGGAAGGAAAGCTGTGAGTGACAGAATAATCACATATCAGGTCTCCTTCATGAGACGGAGAAGAAAAGTAGAACCAATTGATGCCTCTGGTGTCATGCAGCAATATCAGTCACCTGTTCATCTCAGTTGCAGGTTTCAGTGCATATTATTGATGAGCAGCCACGTTAGCTATGAAGAGGCTATGTTGCCTGAATATCAAGTAGCAAAGCTAGTTTTAAAAAAAATATGTCATTTTGGATTCAGAATGACCAGTAAAAATGTGAAAGGCCTGGATATGAATCAAAAAAGCCACTTAAAAGGATTGTTGCTGAGGCTCAAGTCCATACTTAATGCTTTTCTAGCTGCTACTGCATGAGTGGAATACACTGACTTGAAGGAAATGTCAGCCCAGCTGAGTCAAACTACCTCTTAATGCAAGAACAAATAGCATATGACAGGGCCCAAGGGGCCTGAAGAGCAAACAAATAGTTTGTCCCTGTCCACTCTGTATGTAGTGGTGTAGTTGACATAGGCCTCTAGACAAGTAGCATACTCAGCAAAGGGTCATTATCATTAGTGTCCCTGATCACATAAGAATCAGAGGCATCAGAGGACACTGGGTTTTCAGTGTGTTGCCAAGGAGAATTTCGTAAGCCTGAGGATTTTTTTTGATCGAGGATCTTAAATAATTTCCAACCAAACCATAAAACTTGCTCAGAGACTGTCAAAACCCAGCTAAGTGACAGAGAAAAAAGTGAGCTCTTTGGCATACTTTTCCAGAAGCCTAATGAGATTATTTATCTGAAGTTGAGGAGGAAGCCTCCTGTCTTTTTTCCTGAAGTTGGATATAATATCCTAAGTATATGAACAATGGCTGTGCACATTTATCTCCTCATCCACCCACTAAGCCACATCCACTTAAATGTGCATACACATTTCTGCTAGTGTGCCACTCAGGATGAATTTGTATTGCCCCTACCATTGTAGTGCTGCCCTTTCATGAGCTGAAACTGTGAACTTTCTCGCAGAAACCAAAAGAAACGTGATGACAGATCTAGAAGGGAACATTTCTCAAGCCAAAACTGGTAAAATAATTTCAGTCTGATCATTTCCCATGACTCCCTTAAACTAGGCATGAAGGTAAGGTTTGAAAAGGTGAAAGCTCACTGATAACCGTAGTAATGGTATATATTTACATCTCTCAGCCTTGGAAATTTCCAGCATGTCATCTCA